TTGGACCTAGTGGAAGAACGTCGTGAGAAGGCCCTCATCCATGTGGCCGCCTACCAACAAGAGCTCTCCAAGAAATACAACAAGACAGTGCACCCCAGACCATTCAAGGTTGGTGATTGGGTTTTGAGGAAGGTTATGGGCAACACCCTGGTGCTAGGAGAAGGCAAACTAGGGGCAAATTGGGAAGGACCCTATAAGATCACCGGTCTGGCGGGCAAGGGGGCTTACCATTTGGAGGATTTAGAGGGAAGAGCAATACCCCGACCATGGAATGCGGCCAACTTGAAACTGTATTATTTTTAAGCTTTTGCTTTCTTTTCTTGTGCAAAGAAATTTTTGGGCTTGCACCGCAGCATGTAATTCTTTTTGTCGATTTATAGAAGTGATTTTGCCTTCGCACTTGGACTGTTGTTTTAATGTTAAGGACCGAGATGATTTACTCCAGTTGGAAGAGTTGGTGTTTTGTCCAACTTCGGATTCCTAACTGAGATGATTTACTCCGGTTGGAAGAGTTGGTGTTTTGTCCAACTTCGTATGCCTAACCGAGATGATTTACTCCGGTTGGAAGAGTTGGTGTTTTGTCCAACTTCGTATGCCTAACCGAGATGATTTACTCCGGTTGGAAGAGTTTGTGTTTTGTCCAACTTCGGATTCCTAACCGAGATGATTTACTCCGGTTGGAAGAGTTGGTGTTTTGTCCAACTTCGGATTCCTAACCGAGATGATCTAATCCAGTTGGAAGTGTTGATGATTTGTTCAACTTTGTTATTTCCAACCGAGATGGTTGTTTCGGTTTAAATCATTGTTTGAACAAAATCAATACAAAAGGTGGGGACAAAGCCCGGTTACATCAGAAGCGTTTGAAAGCAAAAACACAAAAAAAGAAAAGAAAACTAAACTAAGGGGGAGAGATTGGTAAACTCGTCCTCGCCGGCATCAAGGTTGATTGTTGGACTGTTGTCTTGGGCACCGGGCTCGTCATTGCCGAGCTGCTCCTGCACCTCAGCATCCTCTGCCTCAGATTCTGTCTCGGTGCCTCCCTCTTCGAGTCCTTCCTCGGCCTCAGCTTGCAAAGCGCTGAAGACGTCATTTGCGTAAGGCACGAGGTAGACCGGTAGTGAAGCTGGAGGAGGATTGGCAAATACGTCAGTGTCAGCCCTGGCCGAGATGCTCGCATGCAGATTTCCAGCCGGCTTTGAAGTAAATGTCTTGTGTTGCAAAGACTTGCTTCTTGTAGCTCTGCTCGGCTTCGTTGAAACCGGCGTTGTTAGCAGCCCGGCATTCTTTCTTCTTCGACTTTTTCAGCGCGTCTACCTCGGCTTGAAGCTCATCCCGTTTTTTCTCGGCCGCATTGAGCTGACCGAGCAGTCTGTTGTTGTCTGCGTTTGCAATCTCAAGCGAAGACTTTGCCCGGCCGAGCTCGGCTTGGAGGCTCTCGACCTGGCTGGCTGTGTCATTGGCCTTTTGCCGAAGCCTATGGATGCGCTCCAAGACGAGATGTTGTTTCTGAATGGCCTGCAAGAAACAAAGTTGATTAGAAACAGAACCGGGCAAACACTTGGGAAATTTTCAGAGCTACATTGACTTACCCTGGCCATGGACTTCACTGATGACTTTACCAACCGAGTGTCAGGGACGTGATCGCTGCCGACCACGTCGCTCGGTAGAATGAGAGCTTTGGAAAGATCGAAGGCGAGCAAATGCTCTTTGTCGCCCTTGATCGAAGTCGTGGCCGGGATGTCCTGACCCCGGTGCTTTAGCTGCGGACGCCAGACTGGCACAGGAATTGGGGCATCAGATGGATGCTCGGTCGTCAGCTCGGCGACAAGCTCGGCAGACGGGTCCGCCCGAGCTCTTTTACCAGCACGGCGTGGAGCAGGTTCTCGGCTAGACTGTCCGGTCGCTAGAGTGGCTAGAGCGACCACGGCGCCGCTGGATTGACCGGCGGCAGGCGAGCGAATGACAACCCTCGGTATCTCGGCGGATGTGGCGGTGAGCAGGTTCTTGATTCTGCTTCGTTTGGCCATTTCTTGTTCCTCTGTCAGGCGAATGAGGGAAACGTCTGGCAGGGTTGGATCTGGTGGAGGTGTAGGAGCGCGGAGGAACTCAGTTACTCTACTCCGGCGCGGAGCAGAATACCTGTAGGTCGGGGTGTAGCCAAGTAAATCGTTGCAATCTCGGTGGGAATACCGAAGCACGGTCCGAATTGCTTCAACGTTGGGAAATTGATAGTTGGCTTGCAAGGCTTGGATTGCTGCACAAGAAACAGGAAAATCGGTTAGTTACAGAGTAAAGAGTTAGGCTAACCGAGCAAGTTTGAGCGGCTTACATGAAGAACCGAAGCCCTTGTTTATAAACCAACCCGGCACCTCGGCTGTTTCGTAATTGCCGGACAACAAAAAAAAATCGTCATCGTGCAGATCTTTATCCGGGGTGCCGGTTACAATTTTTTCCTTGCCCGGTCTTATCTTTAAGTAATAAGCTAGGCCGTCTCCGGTGTGGCCCATTGTGTATTGCCTCAATATCTCGGCTAGACCTAAGTTGGTGCCTAGCCGATTGTTCAATTCATGAACGCCGTTGATAATTCTATAAGTATTGGTGGACACTTGTGTGGGTGCCAGCCCGGTGCGGCGGAGGAACTCGGTGATAAGAGGGTTGAGCGGGAAACGGAGGCCCCCTTCGACAATTGAGAGCACGGTGAAGGGGCATTGGTCTAGTCTGCCCCAGGGTGTTGTCTCCTCTTCAGCCAGTTCGAGATGGACGTAGGCCGGGATGCCGTACTCCTCTCTGAATGCAGCTAGCGCGGCCGGAGTATCCACTAGGAAGCGGAATTTCCCCATTTGTGGCCGGCTTAGTATATCCCGGCTGAGGGGTTGGGCACTGTGGTAATTGGTTGCTGCTCGGTCCTGAGAGCCTCAAGAATGACAGTGGTCCCCTTGGACTCTGCAGAAAAAGGATGGCAAGTGTAAGTGTGAGCGCGGTTGCGCAAAAGGAGCTGGACTTCAGCTCGGTCATTGAGAGTGCCAAACCACCTCGGTTGTCTATTCTAACTAAGGAGCCCGGCCGCCCAAGCAGATCAGATGTTAGCCCGGTTGAGCGACCAAGTCCTTTTGTTATCTCGGTTTTTGCTGGGGTTGAGACAAACATGTTGTTTGCCTGGTTAGATTGGTTTTTTGGATCAAAAGAAGACCATGAGCCCGGTTCGCCCCAGTTCTTCAGTGTTCTTCAGGAAGATGAAGAACACCAAGAACAGTGGGAGGTTTGGGGCGGTTTCTATGGCCTATGCCCTAAGAGCTACGTTTTTGTGCCCTAATGTGTATAATATGGAAGAAAATAGCAACAAAATAGGGGTAGAAGGACTCACCAGTGAAGGGCAGGATCTATTCCCTCGAACACGAAGAATGGCAGACGAGTCCAAGGCAAGGATGCTAGAGCTCTGAGGTCGTATGAACAGAATGGCAGTAGGAGGAGATGAAGTTTGGGAGGTCCTGTATGTATAGACGAGAGAGAGGCCGCCCAAATTCAAAATTCTGGCAAAAACGGCGGGTAGGCTGCTCGATGACCAATGGCAGCCCGCCACGTGTCCCCATTTATGGCGACGTCAGGACTGAAGCGACGGGTTGAAGAGTCGAAGAGCCAACCGAGCTACTTTCGAAGGAAAAGATGTCAGCCGAGGAGTATAGCCGGGCAAGTTTGCAGGTAGTTATGTTAACTAGCCCGGTCGCCCTGGCATCTTGAAGACCGGAGAAATGTTATCTCGGTCGAAGTGAGTAATCCCTGTCACGCTTTCGCGGACGGAATTAAGGGGCAATTGAGAGGGTGATTTATGATCTGGGATTGGGCCGAGGTAACGGCCGGGCAGGTTGAGAGCCCAACCGTGCATGAGGCCGAGATGATCGACTATCCACCCGGAGATGTGCTGCCAGAACTCGGGCCGGGCAGAAATTGGGCCAAGTGTGTGCCGCCCCAGACCGTAAAGAAGCTGCTCGGCAAGGCAGTGCTCGGTTGGACCGAGCTGCTTGATCAGGGATGGCTGAAGCCAGACAAGCTGAGTGACCGGCGCCCGGAAAGGCGTGGTCAACCGAGGAAACCGTTTGATCGACAAGAAGGCCGACCTCAGGAGGTGCCCGGGCTAGGCTTTGCCGAGATGCCGCCTAGCCCGGTCCTCCTTAGGTTCAGCCAGTGAGGTGCTTGGGTATGAAGCACAGCACGACCGTGGATAGAGCAGCTCGGTTGCCGAGCTCCAGCTGAGAAGGCAGGCAGTTGGGATTAGGTGATGATCGGCAAGGTTTATGCTGACAGATGGGATAGCGAAGCCACGTGTCAGGAGATGACTGGGAGTGGATATGGGGCGCAGAGGGTATATAAATATGTCTGCGCCCCTCATACGCGACAGTGGAACACTTTGTAAGGATTTTCTTACACTCAAGCACTTCTCTCTCTCTCTCTATATCCTAAGATGTGTGCTAACTTGATCGTCGGAGGGTTTTTCCGGCCACACACCGCCGGGTAGCTCACATTTATTTGCGCGCAGGTGATCGGACATAAACAGAGCTTTGAAGAAAGGAGTACGGGCTTGCCGGAATATTTGCTCCCCGTACAAATGTGATATTGAGATTAGACCCCAAATAATGAAATGTTTGACAAATTAAAATTTGACACTTATCAAATATATCATTAGAGATGATTTTAGGAGTGATAAATTAAGTGTGTTTCAAACATTTTTCACGAAAAAAAAATATATGGCATGATGCCCACTTGATCTAGTCTCTACTACTTATTTTATTTTATTTATTTTTTATTATTTGATAAATTAAGTATTTCAAATAACCCAGCAACAAACCATTTGACACTTAATTATTATTATTATTATTAAGTATTTTATTATTATTATTATTATTATTTGACACTCAATTAAGTTTTTTTGGGTGAATAACAACCCAAAGAGTTAGCTCTCTGTAAAGCACAAACCTAAAGGGTGAACAAACAACCCAGCAACAAGCAATAAGTCCCAATGGACTTTAAACACACTAGAAAGTCCAAGCATTTAGGGCATAATAAAATTACAAACCATCATGTTTTAGAGGTGCATGTCACCCTTTGGTAAAACTGTCTACTGTTTTATGACAACAAAGCACAGCCACGCACGTCGGCAAATAAGTCCAAAAACACAGAAATCAGACACAAAATTGGACAACAAAATATATGAATGGACAGAAGGATCCACTTCTAAACAATCCTCTCTATTATATAATTTCCGTGTCCAGCTCTTTGTTTGGTTTCTGCATTCTCAGACTTGTGAATAACAAATGACAAGGCGGTGTAGCAGTAGTAGTATACTAACATCGCATGACCCAGAAGCGAATTAGTCGTATACCCAACATCAGCACAATGGAAAGGAGGAATGCCACTTCAAGATACTCGTCAATTGGCTGTTCACATCCACCTCCACCACGTCCACATCCACCGCCACCTCCACCTCCACCTCCACCTCCACCTCCATCTTTCTGAAAGAAGGACTTGAATGCCATGAATATCGTCTGCCCAATCCTAAAGAATTCCAATAAGATCTTTTCCCATGCGCCAGGCTCAAAACTTTCCTGGAACTTTTCCCACGCACCAGGCTCAAAACTTTCCTGTTGAGCTGCATGAATAAAAATTAATAAAAAAATGAAAATGCTATACTGGTTTTTTTTTTTTTTTGTCACCATTTTGTATCACTGTTGATATTTAAGATTGATTCTTTGTTAAAAAATCATTGTCATACCTTCATGATATCAAACAGAGATATATAGCAAGCATTGAAGGAAAAAAAAAGAGGGGCGGTAACATAAGGTATAGAACATTACTCCAAGAGCATAGTAGAAAAACTAATCCAATCCATAACGAAGTACCGACAAATACAACAAATACAGATTGGCTAATCAATAAGATAGCAATTAATGCTAAAATAACAATGATTCCTTTTCTCAGCCAAAAATTGTAACCATGAATACATGGACTCTTTATAAAAACTTATTATTATTTCTCACAAAAATGCTAGAAGACAGTCTTCTCTTTTTGTTGTTTGGCCTTTGCATGAAACAGTCTTTAGTCACTCACAAAGTCACAATCTCACATAGGAATCAAGGTTTTAAATATCGGAAATTGGTGTAGCGAGAGATATCAGGTGATTCAGTCTTAAATTTTTAAAAATCTGTTAACTGGGAAAAGCGGTTTGCAACAGTCTAGCTGGCTACTGGCTTTATTGGTAATGAATCAAGTCCTGAATCGACTAAAAAACTATGAACTGGTCAATATACATATACTTTTTCAAAAATGTTTAAGAGCACTAAAAGTAGAGCTCTAATGAGAGCTCTACTTATGCGGCAATGGACTCCACTCATGAATGATTTGATGTATGTGTTGTTGTTTTTTTTTTTTTTTTGGCTCCATGCCACATCATTAAAGCCATTGTTAGAGCTCCAAATTTAGAGCTATGAATCATTGCTCCTAATTTTTGGGGGAAAATCAATTTATCCACTTGTGGTTTGGTATGTAGCGCTTAAACCATATTATTCAAAAATAGCCGGACACTATCCATAAGGTTTCATACTAAGGTGTTAATGTCAACTCTGCAAACGTCGTGTAAAGTTACCTCAACAACCCTATGTTTTATTCCTTTTCCTCCTATTCTTAGTCTCTTTTATTTAAAAATAAAAAAAATAACTTCCAAATCAAATTCATTGACCCTAAATCCTAACCAATTATTTTAAAAATAATTTATAACTTAAGAAATTATTTAACACTAAATCCTATTTACTTAACCTATCTCCTATTTACTTAACCTAGTTTTTCAATTTTAACATAAACTATAAATATAATTTCTAACTTAAACCAATTATTTAACACTAAATCATTTTTATTTAACCTATTTTTTTAATTTTTAACTTAAACTTCAATTTAACCATACATATACACAAAAATGTATATACAATTATATATGGTGGGTGAAATGAGGATGAGAATGGGAGAGGGGATCACGACGAGGGGGCTGGGGAGGGGAGGGAGAGGTCGAAAATGGGAGAGCAGGTCAGGGCTAGGGCTGGCTGTTTGCGTTAGGATTTGTAGGGTATGGAGAAGAAAACAACAGGAGCAAAAATTTCATTCGGCGAACACATAGGCAAAAATGTACGGGGCCAAACCACAAAGGGGTAATTTGGATTTTTTTCCTAAATTTATTATCACCATATATATTGGAATGTATCACTATTGAAAATCAAAAGGTCAAATATGTATCAATTGGAATACTTGAATGTATCAATATCGAGAAACCAAAAAAATAATATGTATCAACCGACATAATACATATCATTCAATATTTAAAATCACAAGAAATACGAGTTTAGTTAGAAAGACCTGATGACGGTTGCTAGCTATAGAGGTGGTTTTGTGTCTGTGGATTGTGTAAAACCTGAAATTTTAACTATTATTTAATTAAGTGAATTAAAATTTTATTAGTACTTTATTAAGAAAAAAAAAGGGGATAAATTAGTAAGCATATTTTGATCTTATAGTTGTATTTTATTTTAATTATTGGAATGTTTTTAATTAAGTTTAAATTTTAAATAAATTTATGATGTAGGTTTATAATGAAAATATGAGGTTTTAATAATATATGTGTATAAAAAAAAGTGTACTAAATATAATTGATCAAATATAATGTTATTTTAATTAGACTCATAGGACAAGGTATTACAAAACAAAATAAAATAATTAACGAGTGGTTTTCTGGGAATTTGTTATATAGATAATAAAACCCTAGTTGTAAGCTATGTTACTTAAAACGTGGATCGTTCTGGTACACGGAACGAGAACTGGAACGTGATCCGCTATATGCTCTAAAATGTGATATGATAAGAGTAGACTTGTATATATTACACCTATTAAGCACGGACACGCGACACGACACGGACATGACACGAACACGCAAATTTTCAAAAAATGGGGAACACGACACGTTGAGGACACGTTTAATATATATAGTTAATTTTATTTATCATATGTCATAAAATTATAAAAAAATCATTAAAAGGTAATAAAATATACAAAATAACACTATTAAAATTATTAAAAATAAACATTTAATTGATTTAACATCACAAAAAAAAATACTCAAATAATATAGGCACAGCCGAGAGAAAAAAGAAAATAGAAAAAAATAATAAAAGACAGAGAGAGACGGATCACTCGAATACAGAGAGAGGGATAACTCACTATAAAAGAAAAACATAACTCACTATATAAAAGAACAAATACAAGAGAAGAAAAACTAAAATCAGACAGAGAGGGTAAGAGAGAGAGAGAGAGCGACTGAGAAAAAGAAGAATGAAGAAGAAGAAGAATGAAGAAGAGCAGCGTGTACCTTAACGAGCGACGACGAGACACGAGTGACGACCGACAAGGAGAGATGACCAACGAGCGACGACGAGACACGAGTGACGACCGACAAGGAGAGATGACCAACGAGCGACGACGAGACACGAGTGACGACCGACAAGGAGAGATGACCAACGAGCGACGACGAGACACGAGTGACGACCGACAAGGAGAGATGACCAACGAGCGACGACGAGACACGAGTGACGACCGACAAGGAGAGATGACCAACGAGGAGCGACGACCGACGAGGAGCGAAGACGAACGACGAGCGACAGGTCTCTCTTTCTCTTCTGTTCTCTCTTTCTATTATGTTCGAATCGAATTAGGACAGATATTGCTCTGTTTTTACTTATTTATAAATCACCTCCAAAAAAGTTTTGTACATTGTGAAATTACCCCCGAACGTGTCCCAGAAGTGTCTATAACGTGTCCGGAATGTGTCCAGATGTAAAAAAATTAAAAAAAAATTGGGACACTCTGTGCTGCATGTCGGACACGTGTACGGAGCCTTCGAAGAGGTGTCCATGCTTCATAGCGTACAAAAAACATAAATAAACGCGCTGAAGTGTCTACCAAAACCATCAACTCTGCTAACCTCCTCCACAAGCTCCCAGTCTCTACCATGGATAGAACATGGAGTTAGATAAGCATCTCGCACCTCATAGACGTGACATTCATAGCCACTGACAAAAGCCATGACAGAGGAAAAAGTATACCCCATGAAGGATCTTGATAAAGTCACATGAAGCTCACACGGTCAGTCACCAGAAAAAAAATTAACGGTATCAGAGAGTATAGCATAAGCCAGTAGCCACTACCGCAACAATCAAAGTCAGAGTCGATTCCACCATGAAACAAATTACCACATCCCCCAGTACCTACCTTAGCTAATCACAAAGCCTCAATCCCCACGGTAATGTCTCCCTCACTCCATGTCGGGAGTGGCTTAAAGATCACATCAGGATGGGTCACATAAAGACAAGAGGCAACCAGAAAAACCCGGTAAACTACTCATCTCCCAGTCTCTAATTCGGCTGATCATCAAACCACGATTTCCCATAGTAGTGACGCCTTAATCACCCTTGGTGGAGATGGTTGAAGAACAACCTCATATAGAATCACATGAGGATCACATAATCAATCATCATGAAAAATCTCCCTTTTGCTACTTTGCAGATCTTACCACGGATGTTTGCAATGATTATATACCGCATAGCGCCATCGGTGAACCTCAAAAGGGACAACCAAAAGAAAAAGGTTTTATTATCTTGAACCCAACCTTATCCCTCCAAAACAAAAAGGTTTTATCCTCCTGAATGTCTTATCTGGGCCAAACCCTATCTCACCAAAACAAACCACCGCATAGGGTCTGAATATGCCCATTCCATCCTAGGGTTAATGCGACAACCACTTGTGCAAGATTTAACTCAAAGGGAACACGTCCCATCATCATTTCATTATCAAACCAACCATTCCAATTATCTTTTCAGATCATCACGAGTTAACGCAACCCATTACCACCCGATTAAGTTTCTCCTTTTTAAATTCATTATATTTTCAGTTAGAATAATGGATAATCATAACAGAGCTAACCAAAGCTATACGTCAGACAACTAAGGCATGATAAAATAAGTTTACAATATAAGCATATATGATATACGGAGCTAAAACACATAAGAGATATAGCATAGAGGTGATAATCCGCAATTAAGAATACTCACATAATTTCAAATACTTCTGTCAAAGACTTTGAGGAATTATTTGGACTATTAAAACAAATCTTTTAGACTTTACACAAAATCACACATTCCATACATACACCAAATAATGCCCTATTTAAACAAATTTTTATTTCATAAAGATTTGCTATTTTAATATTTTCTAAAATAGTAGGTTCAACTTACCAAACAAATAAGAAATCAAGTTATAATCACCATTTTCATGTTTTACATAATTATACTATCTAATCATGTTATGTCAAGAATTGTGGGTCAGTTGAGAAGAAGTTAGTTAGGTAGTTGGTTGAGAAATTAGTTATTCAGTTAGAGGAAGTCAGTTGAGAATTAGTTAGTTAGTTAGAGGTGTGAGGTAAAGAAGTAGTTATAAATAATTTGGGGAACTTACTCTCTATATTTCTGTTTCTTCTTCCCTAGCTATTACAAACCAACATATAATATCACATATATCATCATCTACAAATAGAGTAAAGAACAAGACAAAGTA